TCTTGAAATTGTTTTTTCTACAACAATTGCATTTACAACTTTCTGCATACAACAAATTAGGGATGATAGTTGTTCCGAACAAATGTTGAGAATGTGGAACAATATCTATTCGTGCCGCTAGACCAAAAATATTGAAAGAGGAAAGGATTTTTACTACAAATGCTAGGATGCAAACTTTCCTAAAATGACAAATTGTGATGGTGTTGATCTCTATCAAGAATGACAAATAAGCATTGCAGTTTTGATGGCTAAACTGCAATCCACCAAATCAAGATTAGCATTATCATCATTGCTCTTATGGATTGATAGCAACGCCTCATGTATATCATTGAAAGGATCTATAGCAAGTCAAGACATAAATTAATTCTTGAAGCAAAAAGAAAACAGTGGATCACATTCATGTGCTAACCATGGGTAAGGTGTCGTTCTCTTTGAATCAATGTTGCAGTGACAGTGAAAAGATCTCTTGCCAATTCACCAAGAACCCACAAAATTAAAGCATCACAACAATGACACTGTTGTCAATTTTGAGAATGAATTTAAGCATCTCAAATCATGGGTTTATTTATTCCACTTGAATTATTGTTCCCTTTAATTATTTTAATTGATTTCGTTCTTTCTTGATTATTTAAATTTATTTAATTCTCACTTATGACTTTTATCTGTGCACTACATTCTGCATTGGTTAATTTAAATGAACTAAGGATTCGACACAAGATGAGGGGACAATTTTGTTCTAGTTATCAAGAAGATGAGGGGAATTTGTCAAATATAATAATAGGTTAGGGACTGCCCAAGCGCCCAACGTTTGTCAATTAAATGACTTGAACACATGGACTGGCAAAAAGGTACTGTATCCAAGCAATTTGAATTAAAAACTCCAGGTTAGAGGTATGCTTTGTTCACAAGAATATGCTTAGGAAATTCTGTTATGTTTTCAAGAATTTTACTTGTATTATCTTAACATTTTCCCATATGCTTTTAATTCGAGTTTTATGAAACTATGATTCATTTGCATTCTCAAATTTATTTATTTTTTGTCTATATAAGATATACAATCATAAGTTTATTAATTATTAATGAGACATATAATTGTAAGATTTCTTGGAACATATCTATCATTGTCACCCATACTCCTATATATTGTATGCATACTATTTGAATATTTTTAGCAGAATCATGGCATTATAATTAGTTTTTAACTTATTACATGACATGCATGCTTATTGCATTTTGCTTCACTGATGTTAGTTCAATATCCCTTTCAGTTTATATGTTTTTGGAACATTGATAAGAAAGTCATTAGTAAACTAATGAGCAATTGGAATTAGATTCCATAATGATTATTCTGTCATATAAATTGTGATTTGGAGTTCCGATTGAAGATTAAGTGAATATCTTACTCCTTTTTATATGATTAAGTTGTAAGAAATTTTAATTGCTGTTAGTTTTCTGTCAATTGCATAAGTGTTTTGGTCCTAGTGACATGTATCATTTATTGATTTGCAACAAAGTATTTCCAACCAAGACATATGAAAATAAAATTCCAGGAAGAAGCAAAATTGGAAAGAACAAAAGTATTGGTAGTATGTTTAGATACACATTGGAAGGGGACTAGATGCTTTCTTGTGAAAGAAAGTCATACGATGAGATGAACTCTATTCATCAAAAATAATAATAATAATAAGGGTTGACTACTTTTGAGATTTTCCTTGGCAACTCGATTTACATCTATTAGAATGATATTGTTGTTTCCTCCATTTATAATCTTGAAGCGTAGCAAATGGATGTGAAGTTTACATTTCTAAATGGAGAACTTGAAGAGAAATTTACAATGGTACGGTGTCCAAAGCCAAGAGGATAAGGATAAGAAGAGGATGCAATTTTGTATGGAAAAAATTAGGACATGTGTCAAAGATTTCTACCACTAAAAGGTAAGAAACTCAATAAAGCAAATATCATCATTGAGGATGATATGTTTGCTATACTCACAAATTTGAGAATTTTGCTATGTCATTAGCATTGAAAAAGTCTTGAGGAAAGATTCATCAGTTGTGTTCCTTTAAGAGGGCCCATGTCATCTCAAGTCATAGCAAACACATTGCTATATAATCTTGTGAGAAGTATTGTGAAAAATGAGAAGTATTGTGAAAAATGAGAAGGTAGAATATCTACCTATTAAACAAATAATGTTGATTGACCTCATAACAAAACCTTTAAATGAGAAAAGGACGTTGAATAAAATTTGAAGAGGCATGGGACTACTACCAGCAAGATGGAGTAATCATATTTGAAACCAACTTCATCACTTTGGAGTTGACATGAAGAGGTGTTTTTAATCAACAATTAGGTGCATAGAAGTTCAATGGCAATTCACTCATGAATTCCTCAAGAAATGTTAGCATGAAATGTTACATTTTCAATGTACTTTATTATTTAAAAAATAGTGAGGGTAATTAAATAAATAAATAAATATTTCTTTTAAAGTCTTCTACCTAAACAAGTACAATATTTATTTACAACAAACTAGGTTGAACATTAAAGTTCTTAATAAACTCATAGCTAACTCTAGTGGAGTAGAAGTTGTGAATATTCTTGATGAGTCTACCTATGCAAGTAGAAAGATTAGAGGCCACCTTCTATAAATTACACTGGTTAATCTTAAGAGTACTTGCTAAATAGGATTAGCTCATAGCCCTTTTATATATGCGCTTGCCATGGTGGGACTTTGAACCCATGTATAATGTGAATATAATTCCTCAGTGCTTCATATTCTATTCAAAGGTTTAAGCCTTAGCCACCTTTTGGACATACATTATATATTGTCAATATACTTAACATTATTATTAGAAAATAAGCAGGGGATTGTTGTATATATTAGTATATATAGAGTATTTTCTAATAATAATAAAATATAACATATAATGTATTTATGTAGTATTTTAATATATATATTTATATATGTAAATAAGGAAACGGAAAGGGATAGGGGAGGAAATATGAATAAAAGGTGAGAAGTAAAAAACAAAGAGAAGATACAACAGCTTGAATAGAAGCAATAAATCATTTCGCAACTGTTGTCTTGTTTCACGAACAAGTTTAATATTTAAATATTAACTTAAAGAAAGACATCAGTTCTTTTTTAGAATTTGTGTTTCTCTTCGGTGGCGTAAAAAGCACTAATTGATGTATATAAATTAACTAGATAGCACCAAGAGATACAATTTTTTTTTTCTTTCCTTTGCATTTTCTTTCTTCCTTGAGTATACTGGCTTTGGGTGACTAAGGTTCAATTAATAAGCATTGTATATTGAGGATAACTCTTGAAGAGAAGTGAAAACTATTATCTTTAAGATAGATTCCTAGAACTGCCTTACCTACAACAATTGTATCTACAACTCTCTACTTACAACAGCTGAAACTGCTCCAGTTCTTTGACATGCCTGAAGAACTGATCAAGACTCTCCATCCTGGAGTACAAGGTGGAGATTACTGGAAAGTTGCGGGATTCCAGAAGTTTATTACACAATGGAAATGGGAGGTGTATTCCTTGAAGAGTTGTGGGGAGAGAGTCAGTGCTCTAGAGTCTCGTGTTGAGAGCATAGCGAAGAAAGTTTAAAAATACTATGGGTGAGAACCCATAAACAAAATAATAATAACAATAATTATTATTATTATTGTTATATTACAATATATCATAAAACCCCAAAGCAACAGTTTCCAAAAAAATATTATTGTAATTATATTATTATAAATATTATATAATATTATAACTATATTAGTTCCAAAAAATTAAAACCTCAAAGCAGCAGTTTCCATTATTACGATGAAAAGAAAAATTCATACAAGGAACATGCAAGATTGTAGGAGAAATTATGCTATGACAAAGAAAAGGTTTCTGCATTACTTGAGAATAAGGCATCTGGGTTATAAAGTCGCTCGTGTTGAAACGAAGTTGTGAGTTACCAAAAATTTCTGGCTAAGGGGCACGGTGCCTTGGAAAAATTCGAACAAAATAAGGCCTAACCCCAACAAGGTTACAACTCATTTACTATGAAACATCTCCTTATCTTGTACACTTACCATTGCCAGAGTACAGACGGGAGCTATATGAACAAAATTTACAGATCATTCTTTTGCCATGTGCTAGTGCCCTAGTGTACGTTATTTCCCAAATAAGCAAAAACCCTTTTCTTGAAAACTCGACCCAAGTCCACAATTTCAGATTCTCTCATCTGCTTAAACATGCTGTCAGACCACCCCGGATTGTGCTCTCTCTTCGATAACCTGGTTGCTAAATCAATGGTTAAACTGGCCATGTCTCTGTTGAGAGTTAAAGCTCGCAAGAAAGTCGAAGAGTACAAAGAGTTTGATACAAGCAGTAAGCCTGAATGTGAATCTATCTGCCTATCACCGACCCGATGTTTTTGCAAAATTTTCTGCTGTCCCCATTCCATGTGTTGAATTCTTTTCTTGTAACTTAAACAAAATGAAATTTTGGTAAATTTTTTCCGTTGATGTCCTCTTTTTCCTTGATCCATTAACGTTTGCAACTAAATATAGTATTTGCATTTGTAATGATTCTCCGAATTTCGAAGGGAAAAATCCAAATCAGACACCTGCTTTGTGTAGCAACTATCAACATTCCCTAGCTTGTCTCAGGCTCAACCGCAACTATTAAATTCCAACAAAGCGAAGGCTGAGCGAACATTTTTCAAAAGCATTAGCTATATTACATCGTAAATGCTAGCTTGTAAATGAACAAGACGGAGTTCTAACAGCTAAATAACCTTCATCCATCACCATTTTTGTGCCAACTCTATATTTATACAAGTTAACGCCAATTAGGGACCTAGAATTTTAAAATCGTACAATTGTACTTGCAAACTCGCAAATTTTAGAAGCATGGTCATGTTGTTAAGGCTAGCTAAATCATC